TATGTAGCCTAACAACATGTATGTAGCCTACTATAACAACATGTATGTAGCCTACTATAACAACATGTATGTAGCCTGCTATAACAACATGTATGTAGCCTACTATAACAACATGTATGTAGCCTAACAACATGTATGTAGCCTGCTATAACAACATGTATGTAGCCTACTATAACAACATGTATGTAGCCTGCTATAACAACATGTATGTAGCCTAACAACATGTATGTAGCCTACTATAACAACATGTATGTAGCCTACTATAACAACATGTATGTAGCCTACTATAACAACATGTATGTAGCCTGCTATAACAACATGTATGTAGCCTACTATAACAACATGTATGTAGCCTGCTATAACAACATGTATGTAGCCTAACAACATGTATGTAGCCTACTATAACAACATGTATGTAGCCTGCTATAACAACATGTATGTAGCCTACTATAACAACATGTATGTAGCCTGCTATAACAACATGTATGTAGCCTAACAACATGTATGTAGCCTACTATAACAACATGTATGTAGCCTACTATAACAACATGTATGTAGCCTAACAACATGTATGTAGCCTACTATAACAACATGTATGTAGCCTGCTATAACAACATGTATGTAGCCTACTATAACAACATGTATGTAGCCTGCTATAACAACATGTATGTAGCCTACTATAACAACATGTATGTAGCCTACTATAACAACATGTTATATGTAAGTGAGGTTGACTGGTCAGTGGCCCCTTCTGACCCAGTGACATTACTGCATGGAGAGGCAGCAGCAGCCAGCAGAGGGAGAAAGTGAGCTGGTTATCTGAGGAAGAGTTGTTCAGGCAGGTGAGCTCCCATTGTATGCCTATGTCAATTTTTTGCCAAGTGGGCCTGTCTAACTTGTTTTTTTGTGTGCAAAATTATCATTATCTAGCTAATAATGGTGGCCTCAAGGAAAAAAATGGACTGGTGTTAGAAATGCCAAGTTCGATTTCTGGTCCCAGTCCGCCCCTGCCTATGTCTGTATTTACCTGTTGGGTCCAAGCAGGCTAGTCACACTTTCTAGTAGCTTGTTGAAGACCATCACAAACATTTACCTCTTGTTGAGTAGAGTGGTTGGTTAGGTGCCGTTTCCCAAGGAATAGCCAATCTTCAAAAGGCCTTTATCATGGAGAACAACTCTGAATGCTAGATGGTTAAGGGCTAGGCTTGTATCGTAGGCCTTTCAAGCTTCAATCAGAAAAAATCATATGATTAGGCTACATGATTCAGTTCTCCCATTAGTCAATCAGAAAATGGGAATGTAATATCACATTGTGGTCACTGTCTTTGATATTAGATTGGTTTGGTCAACCTTTGAAATCTGAAGTAACAAAAATTTTAGCGACCGCGAAAACAAATGCGGCACCATTTTGCCGGAACTGTGTCATTTCTGGTGGCGGGAAAAGGGCCTATGGAGTAGATTACAATAGGCTATAGGTCCATTTTTACAACATGAATTTAAAAGATTCATAAAACAAAAAACTGTTATATCGGGCTACGGGTAAGGAAACTAGAAAGATAGGCTGCTTGGTAAATTTTTGGGGGGTTGTAGAGGTCAAGCAACTCAGCCTGTGTTGCGTGCAGTGAGCGTTCCTCCCCAGCTCCCTTTTCCCACACATGATGAAAGCTGCCATGTTCTGAGGCCAACACGCGCATGTGTTCCACTCGGAGCCGCTCAAGCCAAACCCCTCAATCAATTTCTATTCATAAACGCCCTTTCAGCAGCAAATACTCGAAATAGTTTGGCTGTGCGTGGGGAATATGTATTGCGCGCAAGGGAAATCTGACGGTGATTATATGGTGACGATGTCTCGGAACACACGTCATGTCAGTCACCATAATTGTTGTTTTGGTCGGTACCCGGCGGCCTCTCGCCTCTCGGGGGCGGAGTAAATTAAAATGATCATTCATCCAGTAGGTCTACCAGCCATGCCACAGCAGTCGGTTCAGTGCCTACACAACCCAAAGTTTATTTCACAATCATTTGCTTTCTTTGAGTGGAGAAAAACATGGCGGTGATCTTTAGGCTGTGTTGCAAGGAAATTGAAAGTTGCCTGGCATTTAAATAAGCTTCCTGTCTTCAGGCCTAAGCTACACACTAGGCCTAGTGAACAGAAATTACTTTGATATCCAATACAAAACATGGTGAATGTTATTTATGATATTACAATTGACTAATTTTCAAATTCCAATAAACAAATGTGTGACGTAGCCTACCATTAGAAGTCAATAGAAATGGCTCTAAGGTCGATTGATTATGTTCATAATGATAGTTGACTGTAAGCCTCGGCCACAGAGCTTTGTTTATTGGCTGTTGCAGCTGTATTTAAGAGAGCGTAGCCCTATAGTTTAACTGACCTCATCATGCAAATGCCGAATCGTCTCAGTCAACATGACCCTCCCTGTGTGGAACCTCCACAACACAGATTTTATTTTGGGGTTGTTCACCCGAAACACACACTGTTAACAGCTGTGCAGTATTTCACTCAACATCTTCAGCTCGAGAGTTTTCTGTGCAAAGCAAAACCTCTCATTATTATAAGATCTGTGATCATATGGCACTGACAGCAGGACGGTCGTGGGAAGTTCCTGGGAAGAGACAAGAGGGAAACAGAGGGAGAAGGAGGAATAAAGGGAAGAAGATGGAAAAGGACAGAGACAGAAAAGAGAGAGATGAAGAATGAAAGGAAGGAAAGGTAGATACAGAGTAGATGTATGGAGGTTGAAGGTGATGGTACTCTCTCTTTCGCTATCTCATCCCCTCTCTCACTCCCTCTCGCTCTCTCTCTCTCTCTCTCTCTTTCTCTATATCTCTCTCTCACACTCACACACACACACCATCCACACACACGTACGCAGACTCTCTCCCCCCCTCTCTCTCTGACTGTCTCCTCTGTAATGGGCTCCAGATGTGGACCTGAGGGGGGGAGTGGAGGGGGAGCTGCTTGCATGTCATCTGTGCGGGTGGAGAGAGAGACGCCCGTCCGAAAGCGATGCTGTCAGGCCTGATGGAGTGGCCAGGGCCTGGGGCGAGGGGTGCGGAGGACAAGGGGCAAGGAGGGGTACAGGGGGGCGAGGGTTAGAAGGGTGAGGAGGGGTACAGGGGGGAGGGGGTCAGAGGGGCTGTACATCTGGAATCACTTCAGGTCAGTCTGGCCTGGCCGTGAAAGGTGAGCCAGGGCGCCACTGTGCTGTGCGGACCAGCCATGGCCACGCACCCCTGGTACCTAGTACTATCCCATATAGACTACCATACAGCAAACCTCCACAGTGACCAATGCCATCACAAACCAATATAGCCAAAAACAAGCCCTAACACTGCCTTAAAAGAGTCCCTTTCTGATACACACTAAGGTGTAGGTACGACAAACTGTAAAAGACATTGGATTGCGCTGTAGAGATGTCAAACACCAGCAGTTTTATGGCAGGATGTTCAGCGTCAGGTTAAGTCAACTAGTGTTTGTTTACGACAGGTTATGAAGGGCCAGTGAGTAGAAAACCTCTCTCTGACAGCTGCTGAGCACAAAGAGGCCACTGTGCCCCCAGTATTAGAGAGAGAATTTCCCTCCTCGTAAATATCTGCTTTTTAAAGATGGAATATTTTAGTTTGTGGTAATCAGCAGATTGGGAACAGCTTGAGGTTTGGAGAGTAGCGTTTTTCTGAAAAAGTCTGTCCCTGGGTTATAAAACACTTTTAATGGGACATGCACACATTTCAAAAGCCATTTTCTCTCCAAATGGCCCACCACTCATTTAAATATATTTCTTTTTTAAACTAATCCAATGTTTGAAATGGCCTCTGTTGCAGTGGTCGGATGGAAAAGTTACACTTGGTGTTACGGTTATTTTAAAGTATGAAGGGTATCTATGGATAAGTCCTCTTTAGGAGTATAATATTTTCATTCTGATTGTTCCTTTTTATATAGCAGAAGTCTTGAGCCGTACAAAGATACAAGTCACCAAGGAAACAGTTTGATCGAGTACAGGCTTAACTGAATGAACAACAAAGACGGAATGCAACATTACATTTTATTCTATAGTTTGGGGAATGGCCTTGTCTCTGAGGGAAGATCCTCTGAGCCAGATGTGATGGCAGGTAGCTCTATGCGGGACTACTGGCATCGAAACCCCCCCGCTGGGGGAAAGGAGTTCAAATGACGGGCCTTAAGGTTATTATAGCAGGTGGTGGTGGCGAGGTGAATGGTTGTCGAAAACTGTTGCTGAAAAACAGCAAGTGAGAGAACGGAGATAAGTTGACATATAAATACATCCCAAGATCTACACCCATTGGTTGAGAGAGAGGAAGGTGATAATTGCAAAAGTGAGCCCATAGGTTAAACATAGAGCGTGAGGAATGTGCATTATTGTGCCGTGCTTATAGGCTATAGGCTAAACAGGTGAATGCCATTCTCCACGTTGCTAATAGGAAAGAGGAGGAAAAACAAGACGCTGTGCTGATGATGATACGTTTGTATTCATTCCCACTATGCTGATGATGATACGTTTGTATTCATTCCCATTATGCTGTTGATGATACATGTGTATTCATTCCCACTATGCCCCTAGAACAGGAAACAGTGAATTATGTTATGCTTACTGGATGAAGTTAAACGAGCATTCACACCAGCCTTCCTGATTGAACCTCCGTAAACTACACTTGATATGATTCCCTTTGGTCAATAGCTCATTAAACATTGTATTCTAAAAAATAACTGCCAATATTCTAAAATTCTAAATATTCTAAAAGCGACCTCCACATCTTTCTATTTAAATAGTTGAAATCTCATGTAGATATAGTGGCTGGCCCTCAAATAGCCTTCAACCGTGTGAGTCTGACACAGTGGCATTACTTTGCTTGAGTTTATTAATATACATGATTATCTGTTACAAATAAAGGATATCATACAAAGACTAAGCAAAACTACAGTCTTGGATTCAGAAATAGGTTACATTAGCCTTTCCTGTATAGTGTACCATGGCATTATATGAATCAAAATGCGTCGGGAAAAAAAGTTTGCTTGTCAGTGGAATAAAATGGAAAGAAATGTGAAGAAAAAAACATCTTAAAATGTATAAATGTTTGTAACCTCCCAGTTTACATGGATAAGTCCTTGTTGTTGTTGTTGTTGATCAGGAAGTTGCTCATCCCATTCTGCTGTTATAATCCTATTGAACGTTCTATTATAAAAATACAGGGAACTCCATTTGAAAAGTAGTCCATACTGGTGTCTCCTCCTCACCCCCAGGAAGGCACTGTGGTCTTGAACGTGAATCAAACTATAGATAGACACTGACAACCTGACAGTCAGATTTATTCTGTCAGGGTTTCCATATCTTTGGAAACTAGCCTTTCATTTAGTCAAAACCTAATTGAAAGAAATAATTAAAAACAGTCATTTGATACAGCATCCAGTCCCAGTCTAGATGTCTTTGGTTTAATTGGTTGATGTCTTTGGTATAATTGGTTGGTACAGACAGCGACAGTTCAGCGATGCTCAGGACAGGAGAGAGGCGGCTCACAGAAACAGCCTCTCATGATTCCACGGCGTCGCTTGCTTTCTCATCAGATGCTTCAGGTTTGCAGACAGTATAGGAAGCACATCCATCTCTATAGCTCCGGAAAGAAAGGAGACTTCAAGCTAAAATGGAGGGCGGTCAGATCTTAATCATCCCTGTGGGGGCCAGGCTGGGGTCTTACTGTCTGTGTGGGACAGACGTGAGAGAGAGAGAGAGAGAGAGAGAGAGAGGGTCCCTGCTCCTGCCCCCACCCCCACCGTGAAGCCTCTCTCTCCCCCCTCTCTCCTCAGTTGACCGTGGGCACCTGGTTCAAGCTGTACTCCTTTGCTTTTAGCCGCAGGTTGGCGATGCTGTTAGCCATGTTCATTCCCTGGGATGTATTGGGGTTGGAGCATGTGGGGGGGTAGGTTGCCATGGCACTGGAGGAGAGAACGGTACAGAGGGCAAAGGTCAGATAGAACTGTAACCAGCGGCGATGGAGCCAACATGGCAATGTGAGTTCAACTAGAATAGCATCGATATTAACATCATAGAACTCATCATGAGGAAAACATCAAATGTGTTTAATTGTTCATGGCTGTGAAAGTCAAAATTTTGGCAGTCTTTTTAATGATGACTGAATACTTCATTTGTTTTCACTTACTCTGGAAAATACCAAGACACTTCAAGCCAAAAAAATTTAAAAATAAAGGAACCACATGTAGTAAAGTGAAAGAGTACTTGCTTTGTGAGGGCAGCATTTTCTGTGGCACTCGCATTGGCACTCCCTCCGGCATTGGGTACCAGCTTAATAAGAATATATAAATGGTGATGTATGTGTTAGCACCACGTTAGTGTGATATTATTCACTGGCATTACTTCTGGTCATGTGACTATCCACTATAGTGAGTACAGCTGGGCCAGAAAGCGTTCCCAATTTACAATTTAGTCATTTAGCAGACACTCTTATCCAGAGCGACTTACAGTAGTGAGTGCCTACATTTTCTTACTTGTCCCCCGTGGGAATCAAACCCACAACCTTGGCGTTGCAAGCGCCATGCTCTACCACATGGGCCACATGGGTTCCCCACTGAGGTACAATTGGAGAATGGGTATTTTAGCAATAGCGATCAGGCCAGACATTTTATACTGTGTTTCATAAGGGGGGGGGTGGTGGTTACTGTAAATCACAACCAATGTAACCAGAGTCACAAAAAATCCTGCCCAGTGGAGTCTGCTGTTGCTCTAATGTTCATTATTTGGTATTGTATAACAGAGAAGGTCACAGGGATCAACAGTGGATTTAATACGGTTTGTTTTCAGATTATCACCTCATCACGAGGGTCATTGGATCTCTCATCCCCCCCTCGTGTTAAGCAGAATGGAGAGAAGGAATGAAAAGAGAGAAAGACTAACCTGTTTACAGATAATCTGTAGTTCTAGAAATAGGACTCAATCTATATTGTGTCACCATAGATTATACAAAACATTCATGCATTTTGTTTTTAGAATATTAGTTTGTGATAAGTATAAGAAAAGTAATTGGAGAGAATGTGGCAAAAACTGAGAGACAGAGAGGAAAGTATAATTTAACCACTAAAACTATGACAAATAGGGGAAGGTTTTTTTTACATTACTTGTAACACAAATCTCCAAAAAGAAACACACTATAGTCTAAACCTGACTATTGTTTATCAAAGCCAAGGTCGAATACAGTGACAGTTTCATTGGATCCAGGTGGACCAAAAGAGCGATCTGGAGGGGTTCGTGTAAATATGCGGAGTATGCAGGTAATAGAGGAGGAGGAAGAGGAGGAGGGGGAGGAAGAGGAGGAGGAAGAGGAAGAGGAAGAGGAGGAGGAGGAAGAGGAGGAGGAAGAGGAAGAGAAGGAAGAGGAGGAAGAGGAGGAGGAGGAGGAGAGATGTAATGGGAGGAAATTAAACAATAACAGAGTTGGTGAGGGGAGAGGGGGTTGGAGGTTAGGGGGGGGGGTGTTAGTGAGGGGAGAGAGGGTTGGAGGTTAGGGGTGGTGGGGTGTTAGTGAGGGGAGAGAGGGTTAGAGGTTAGGGGTTAGGGGTGAAGGGTGGGGTGTTACTGAGGGGAGAGGGGGTTGGAGGTTAGGGGTGGTGGGGTGGGGTGTTAGTGAGGAGAGAGGGGGTTGGAAGTTAGGGATGGTGGGTGGTGGGTAGGGTGTTAGTGAGGGGAGAGGGGGTTGGAGGTTAGGGCTGGTGGGGTGTTAGTAAGGGGAGATGGGGCTGGAGGTGGCATTACGGAAGGGGTGGTAGGGTTAAGGTGTGGTTATTGCAGGAGCAAGAGGTGAGAGAGGGAGCCTGGGGTCTGAAGGACAGAGCGGTTGGGTTTATGTTTTCAGTGAAAGGGGTAGGGGTAGGGTATGACAATGGGGGGGGGGTCTACCTGTAAGGAGAGGCACTGCCCCAGGACAGGTAGTCATTTGGGCGGGGGGCCGGACGGGGTACAATGGGCTGCTCCACGGCCGTGATGTCCCCGGAGTAGGACTTGAGGAGCGAGGCGTTCTTGCTAGCCAGCATGGCACGCTCGTTCCGACGAAACTTTGCCCTTCTGTTCTGAAACCACACCTGGAAAAAATATATACAAATGAGCGGAATGAATGTACAGTAGTCCCTCGAATGAAAGCAGTCCAATTGATAATGACAATAATTATAGACGTATAATTTAGCTAGTTTATAAACTACTTTTAATACCGATATAAATCCTTTACAATATATCTCTATATAAAGTGTTACTCATATCTTTATATTTCAGAACCTATATCATATATAACTCCTGAATTTAATGATATGAACCACTTCTCCATGAGATCCATGTTTTACTTTTTACAATGTGTAAAATAGGTTTACATGCATGTTTTAAAAGCCATTTTTTTTTAGTTTTGTTCATATCTAATAGATACTGTAACACTCAGCCGTATCTCTCAGCACACCATGATGATCAAATACTGTCCCTTCAGTATCGAGCCTTCGATACTCAACCACACACACACACACACACTCTCTCTCTTTGTTACACACACACACATACACGCACACACAGACACATGCCTCCTTTGTTAGCAGATCAAGGGCCTGACTGGGGAACTAATAATGCCGTTCCTCACTCTGAAATCAAATCCATTATTAAACGCTTTGGGAGCGCCGAGGCTCAGGGAGGCACAGCTTACGCACTGCCTCAGGAATGAGCCCAAAGTCTATTTTATCAAAGGATTTCTGCATCCCGCTCTGGTACGCATTAATCGCAGATGTTCGCTCCCTCTCCTTCTCTCTTGTTCAGTCTCTCCTTTTCTCTCTTTTTCTCTGTCTCTCTCTCACTCACGCACCCACACATACACAACTGTACCATCAAGATCTACCCAATATTTTGTTTTATATAGATATCTGATTTAGAGAAATAGCCAAAAGGTCCTTGGGACCTAATAGATTCCATGATGAGATAACACAAGAACGTGGGGGCCTGAGGATCACCTATTAGGATTGTGCTGAGGAGTCCTCCTTATGATGAGATAACACAACAACTTGGGGGCCTGAGGATCACCTATTAGGATCACCTGGCTGGGGTTATTAGGATTACAGTATGCTAACGACTGGGAGGTAGCGGTCCTCTGTGGCTCAGTTGGTAGAGCCGATGAGGCCACCCATACGAAAAAATTTATGCTTTGGATAAAAGTGTCTGCTAAATGGCATACTATGGTCCTACCTGCACCCGTGCCTCTGTGAGGTTGACCCTGCGTGCCAGGTCCTCTCTGACGAAGGCGTCGGGGTAGTGTGTCCTCTCAAACACTCTCTCCAGAGCCTGCAGCTGGCTGCTGTTGAACGTAGTCCTGTTCCTCCTCTGTTTCCTCTTCTTCTTCTCCTCCGCGTTCAGCTGCTCATCTACAACACAACAACATCATGGTCAGATGCAGGAAATAACTAAAGGAAATCCTACTTTGCACAGGCTAACTATAGAGTATGATCTATAATCTAACAGAAACAGTAAACCTCCTCTCGCTGTTGGCTGCCTGCTCCCAATAAGTATTTTTATACCCTACATTTGTTTAGTCCATTTATAGGCATGTAGGTTCACACAGACAAACATACTATGATAGAGATATATGTTATATTTTATACTGTGTATAATATACTGAATACAGACACACACACACAGGCTTACAGTACACATAAACACTTCTTGTCAATAGCACCATATTGTCTTCTAGTGTGTCCACTGTGTAGTTTTCTACAACCCTTGGGTCAACATGGCCAGTTTGTTGTCATCACGGGGAGAGAGAGAGGGAGAGAGAGAGAGAGAGAGAGGATGAGAGACGAGAGGAGAGAGAGAGGGAGACGAGAGAGAGGAGAGAGAGAGAGGAGAGAGGAGAGGAGAGAGAGAGAGAGAGGAGGAGGGAGGAGGAGAGAGGAGAGCGGAGGGAGAGAGAGAGAGAGAGAGAGAGAGAGAGAGAGAGAGAGAGAGAGAGAGAAGGCTTTTCTTGTCAATCCCCAACTATGTCTGCTTTATTTCTCTCCTCAGAGGATGTATGACCTCTTCTATGACCTTATTGTACTGAGAATGCAGTCATTTCTACTGTTGCTACAGTGGGCGAATGTATGAATGCAAATTAAGCCTACACATCTCTTTTGGGGGATAGTACAGTTCACAGTAAGTTCCCACAATGTTGTCATTTTTTGCCCATCCATCAGAGGAAACCCATTACCAATTTGACATTATTAAGCCTTTCCAAATCCACAAAAACAACCACTCTAAAGTTTATAATAAAAGGCCTATTCTCATAGTAAGATACTTTTTTATTGTAAAGCAACACAGAATGGAGTATATATTGAACTTCTTTATTTTACCAACCACCTTTTCTGTAGCCTATTGTTGTGGTAGGCCTAGTGGTCGAAAGTTTGGAAAGACTCAAGAAGGTCCCAACATTTATTTTGAAGTGCCTAACGAGAATATATGATAGGCCAGGCCTAAAATAAAATATTAAATCGGCATCTTATCCATTTCAACATTTTAAAGATGTAGGTTTTATATCAGGAACATACAAATATCAGGAATATACGCCGATAGACTAATTATACAAAAACAGATTGCGCACAGTCGACAATGGGAACAATTCCAGTGGTATAAGGTGCGTATCTTAACTATAGGATATTTACCATCAAATACTGTGTAAAAAAAAAAGTTTGAAACTAGACTATATAAAATACATATATTCTGTTTTGCTAATAATATATATTCATCTGAAACCAATTGTGAATGCTGTAAAGTTGCAATTGCACTTTCGTTGTAAACTAGTGATGATAAAATAAGAAAAACTGCCAAGGCAAGCGTAGCAGCATTACATTTACATTTTAGTCATTTACTGCTAAATGACTAAAATGTAAATGTAATGCTGCTACGCTTGCCTTGGCAGTTTTTCTTATGTTATCATCACTAGTTTACAACGAAATGCCCTATTCAAATGAGTGCAATTGCAACTTTACAGCATTCACAATTGGTTTCAGATGAATATATATTATTAGCAAAACAGAATATATGTATTTTATATAGTCTAGTTTCAAACTTTTTTTTTTACACAGTATTTGATGGTAAATATCCTATAGTTACTTACAGTTAGTGAGTGCATACATTTTCATACTGGCCCCCCGTGGGAAACGAACCCACAACCCTGGCGTTGCAAGCGCCATGCTCTAAAAAACGGAGTTACAGGGGACTACAGCAGACCATATCACAGCACTTAAAGGGTATTTGTGTTATCATTATGTTATTCATATCAATAACATGTATCATTGTGTAATGGGCGTGAGAAATGGGCTTCAAAAATAATTATTAGGCGAAATAATTTCGCATTAAAAAATATACACATTTTTACAACACAACGATTGTCAAAATAATATAATCAATGTAGGTTATTTGTTTGTATCCATTTTTGCTGATTTAGGTTGCAAGTCATTGGATTTAGGTTGCAAGTTGGGTGAAAAAAAACGAAAATCCTTTACATTGATGACTTTTTGCAAAACCAAACAGTTTTCCACGTTGATTCAACGTCATCACATTGATTATTTGATGTTGAAATTATGTGGAAACAACGTTTATTCAACCAATTTTTACGCAGTAGGTATGTTGTTTGTCCCTGCTAAAGGAATACATTAAAACCATGTTATTATGTGAAGGCCTAAGACATATAATCATCTGAGCTGAAAACATTAGGCTAAAGGTGCAGTTGTTGTTTGCATACTGACAAATAGTGAGATGCTTTACTGAAGGCTGATCGAACCACATAACAAACCTTTTATGTGGTAAGTGGGGTGAAAACCATTCAATTTCAACGGATGCCTATAATCATGATGATTTAGGCCTTAAACAAATTATAGTAGTCTAGAACCTACTGCGATCTGACACCATGAAACATTAGTTTAGCGGAAATAGTTCAAGCTCGTGTGAAATTGTTGGTAATATATTTTCAAAGTGAGAGAATTCACAACGATGATTTATGGGCTTTGCATGATGTTAATTATCCAAGCTATGTGTTCCTCCTCCTAATATCACAAGTGTATTGTTTGTTTTCTATAGGCCCAAATGTGTTTACGAATACCAAACATTACACCAACATCCCAACATGATTAATTACGGAACATATTTATTCTTGACAAGCAGATCTAATGACGTTTTGTTATTTGATCCCGTAATTGTCAGAGCCATGTCCACAGGACACATCCGATAATTATGACAAATGATTATGTAGAAATATTCTGAAGTTGTTTGACAAGCGAAATAACTGTGAATTAACGACATCACCTCGCGCCTTCCCTTACCAACGTTTCTCACATACCTCTTCTCGAGGTCCGATTTACCCGTAGAATAACAATAACACTCATTAAACCCTAACGTTTCTGTCAACCTCTCCAAATGACTCTGGATATGAGGGCGTATCACCCGGGACCTGAGGGGTTTATTTACTCTCTCCACCGCATGGCTGAATGGGGAAAACCAGCTGTGTTCTTTTGCTTTTAATGGGGTGTATCCAAATGTACTTCCATCTCCTCTATCGCATTAAAAAAAAAAAAAGTTATAGACAAACCACATTTCAGGCTATCCTGACCAATCTAAGTCATCAAGGCAGTTGTGGAAGGCTCCATAGTAGTGTTTGTTTTGATTTATTATTGTAAAGCTTGACTTTACAATAATATTTATTTTATTGACCATATCCACCAACATCGCCATACTTCGTTGACATCAAAGTGTTAATGGTAAATTAATGGTCGTTTTTAGTGTAGCGGTCAGAAATGATTTATTACCACGAGTCACGAAGGACTCCTTCCATGCGCGCGATAGTTTCAACAGAAGAAGGCTGGGCAAGACTTAATGAAAATAAATGAAAGTAGCTTGCAGTATTATGTTCATAATTCTGTACGGTATTTACACTGTACACTGCAACTCTTCTCCAAACAGGCCCACTCAAATTACCGATGGAGCACACCAAAATGGGTTCAACCTTCAACCATGCGGATTATTCTGCGAATTATTAACAAAATGGGTTCCTATATCTTACACTATATAGACCTAGCCTGCATTTGCTAATGTAGCCTAATAATCAATTTCTGCGTTAAGGTGTTAATCAGTCCCGAGTGTATAGGCTGCACTTGGAGTACACTTCTCACTTACTCTCCTGCTGGGTGGTGTCGCTCCCACTGGTCAGCCCCGGGGACTCAAGCATATTCCTCCCTGCCTCACCGACACTCTCGTCCGCCTGTGTCCCAACCATTTCCCTGGCCTCCTCCAGATCCAACAGGTGGCTCACCGAGAAGTTCTTTTTGGCTTGAAGGTTTTCCAGATTCGATGTAATCGGACTCTCCAAGCGATTTGATATCGTTGCTTGCCTGTCCCTTACATGTGCATAGCTAGAAGTCATGACGGAAATAGGATACAGTAGAAAAAACTGAGCAATAATAATAAGCGAGCCAAATGTATCCTTGCACACAGAACGCACGAACAGGAACAGCGCCTCGAAACCAGCCCGAGAAACCTCAGTTTTCCAAGCAAAGCACAGTTGCTGCTCACATCCAGACGCAGCAGTGGCGGTAAACCAGACTTCTACAGACAGAAGAAAAAAGCTTTTCCCCTCGTTTGTTTCCCGCGATCACAAATCTCTACGCATCCGGTCCATCCATACACGCGCATAAACAACAAATATAGTCTCCATATAAAATCACAGCGTCCTGCACCTGGGTTTTCAAGAAGTCCTCTTAAAAAGTCCTCCCCACTTCCCACTCCTGTTGACTCACGGTCGCAACTGACTGAGCTTAGCTGATGCCGAACAGATGCGCTCGTGTGTGCATAAAGCTGGCTCAGCTCAGGGCTCAAGGCACTGGGAAACTGGCTCTGCTATGGCTAAGGCACCTTTCTTGGAACTATTGCTTTTTCTCAGTGAGAATCGGTCGACTCTCTCTCTCTCTTTCTTTCCCTTCGCTCTCTCTCTCTCTCTCGTTGCTTCTCTCACTCTCTTTCTGCTTCTCTCTTGCTCTGGCACTTCAAATGAGGCTCACGCTGGCACGCTGCGGATGCTGCCTGCACCAGCCAGGGTGTAAATGAAACTCTGAGACTCCTGGGAGAGTAGATGGACCATAATAGCAGCCCGTAATTACGTGGCGATGCCTGTATGCTGTTTCTGACGTTTCACAGACCCCCTCGCTACGCTCCCGTCCTCCTCAAACTCTACCCTCCCCTTTCAGCAGCACACAACCACACCAACAACATCTCCACCACCCAGAACCCACTGATTAAGGCTTTTTAACGAACCTCTGGCAACCTTAACCAACCCCTTGGAACCTGCGGCGCGAAGAGTCCCGGGAGCTCTGGAGGGGAGGGATAATTATCACCCCGTGTGATGATAGAGCCAGTAAAGAGATTTTAACTGTCGGGGTATATCGGCCCCAGACCAACCCAATCACTATTACTGCACGGGATTCAGACGTGGCCCGTGGCTACATTTTCTTCAGATATGTGGTTATTCAAAGTATACTGCATAATTGCTGTTTTGATAAAAGATTTACAAGGAGACATTGACAATAAATCGTCCTGAACACAAAGGAAGAACCTCTGCTTTCCAGCTGATACATTTTGTTTGAATGTCGAAACTTTCATTTTTTAATGTTCATGCGTTTGTATTTCTTCTCCCCTGTGTAGCTATTATTACTTGTACTCCTGGCTACAATAGCTAGTTCAAAATAATCCCAAACAAAAAACAATGGCAACCAAAACATTCTTAATGAATCAACTGTAATGATGCCGTTATTGGCATACCTTAGCTGTGTTTCACCCTGGCACACAATAGACAATAACCAAAGCCAAACCCCAGACATTCTAATAGGCTACACAAGCCGTTATCTGACAAACAGACTTGTAAGACTTTGGGTTTAGTGGAAAATTCTGTTTAGAATTGTTGGAATTGGGGTCTCATTTTGTGCGCGCTCTGAGTGGGGGTCTTGACAGGGGGGCTCGGGGTGGGATGGAGGAATGAAGGAGGAATGGAGGGATGGAGGGAGTAATGTGTTTAGATGGCAGGAGTATAGACTCACTATAGGCTCCATACTGCCATAGACATCCCGTAGCTTCCAGCCCCTGATCTGGGAAAAGAACACTTGATGCCATCAAAGGGACGCGGATTGAATCCAGATGTGCTTCTCTCGTTCTTTCCATGTATTTAATGAAGGCGCGGGGATAGAGTAGTGTTTTTCATCATTAGTTTTCCCTCCAGATTCCTTTTTCCTGCCTACACGTCCATTCCAGTGCCAGTGTAAAAAGCCTCCCCAACAGTTTCGGCCTAAACCCCAAAGCTCCATATAGCCTACTCTTTTCACTCCCGCTTAAAGAATGTTATACGACAAAGTTAGAAGCCTATTCTTTCGTGATTGTCTGACCAAAAAGAAAGGTCAATGTTACTCTGTATGAAGTGTGTCATCCGAAATCTGGCCTGACCTTTGGAATAGGTATATTCCGCAAAATAAAATATATTCATATGATTATTTCTCATTTGAAATCCTCATAGCCTGCATACTGATATGTATACATTATTAAGCGTGACACATGTATGTACAAATATCGTATTCAATGTAGCAAAGGGAAGTTTCATGAGAGGAGAGTATATGTGAATGTTTTTTTAACATCAGCTACTGCCGCCTAAATGACTATAAAAGCCCCAATCTCTGCACATGTGCAAGGGTCAAGCAAACATGTTTTGCTCGATAAAGGTCAAATTGTAAACAGCACTTTTGTAATTAATATGTAATTAAAAAACATAAACATCGTTACCCATCCATCCAAGGAATCGAATTATGCAAATGCGCCATAGTTGCGTCTTTACCCAGGTGAACTACTGACCCTTGATTGTCATTTCAGACAAAGGCAATGATTAGTCTGACAAAAACTCATACTAATTAACCTTTAATATGTTTATGAATTTTTTAAAAGCACACATAAATCAACGTTTGAATTGACATGTCTCCATTATGTTTAACTTATAGGAAAAAAGTTTACCTTGCATTTTCATTATTTAAATTCAAATTTTTAACCTTGTAAAACGTAATAAGCTCAAATGCACCGACATATTACGAACAATGTAGAAGATTCAACGAATTTAGCGTAAATGGAAAAAGCGAGGAAAGGGAGACGTGCGCAGTCACAATGAAATACGGTTATTGCCTTGATGTAAACGGATGTCTCAGTTTCAATAAGATAATTTGATCACACACTTAATGCTTACTTTTGGCCATCTTTCATAACAATTCAATCATTGTTTATTGCATATTATGTGCAGTTGAGGAATTCACTCTGGATATCCAAAGTGTAGCTACAGGCATAAGAGAAACGTAATGTAATAGGCATACATCATTTTGATACATAATTTGTGAAAGCTGTGTAACAGTAAGTAAAGATAGGCTACAGGGAATCGTCCAAGCTGGGTGCTGAGGAGCAGACATTTCACAGAAAAACATTTTGGAAAGAAAGAAGTCTTCAGTTTTTCAAGCTGCAAGAATTGTGTACCACAATTACGGTGTTGAAATAATCTACACAAAATTCATTGTTGGGAAATACCTGTTTTTTTAGACAATAACATGAGTACAGTAACTGAATACAGTATAAATAATAACCGAACGTTTTGAAATAATGTGCAATAATGTAGGCCTACTTTAACAAGGCCTATTGGGTTTTATGTTTTAGGTTTATGGAGCAATGGCATGAAGTGCATGCTCTAAAATATATGTCCACGCTTTGGGACGCCTGAAACCGTTGCCTACAGAATAGGGCAACAGCAGCGGTTGGCTTTATGATCAGAATCAGCGCGGGTGAATACATTTCACACGCGCATGGCTTTGTAAACTCGGCGTGTTGTTTAATCGGGAGCAGATTGGTTTTCATGTCGGAACACCACACAGGCAGTTTGCAATTAGCGCGAGAGCGTTTTCAATGTTGGAACAATAGAGGTAGAGACGAGAGAGAGAGAGAGAGAGAGAGAGAGACAGTGTCGCATGTCCCTTCAGAGTCGCATGGCCCAAACGGCAAAGAGGGGGACTGAAATTGCACACACAATGAGGCATCGGCATTACCGTTATCAATACTATATCCAAGCGGAAACACTTGCAGTAAATGATCTACTGTTATACCTCGAACCAGTGAAAATTAAACAGCTTATGCGCGTTAAAATGATTTAGATGATCTCGATTAGAAATGGCCAATGTTGATTATATTGTTATTGAAAACATCTGCCAATTGTGAATTGTGTATTCTAATGTTGTAATCCGAACTCGGTGCCTGCGCGAGGGATTTGCAGTTCAACAGGTCTCAAGATGAGAATTCCCTCGTCGTTGCAATCAGGGATCGCGAGGGGGGGGGGGGGCAACACATGGTTTCCCGTCCAGGATATGGAGAGTCAACTAGGAGGCCATTTTACTCCCAATTAGAGAAATAAAGGTGGACATGGGCCAACGCGCTACCCCAATAGGCACTAAGGGTCACTGGACAGCACTGCAGCCAGCCAGTCAGCCCGGCCGACAGAGACGCATGCTGCCGACTAAGATGAGTGCAAGTCATTCAGCCAAGGGCAAGGCAATCTTTCAGCTAATACACTACTGAATCAGCAACAATAGAAAAACATAAAAAGTGTGTGTTTTCATTGGAGGAATTGAATAAGCGCTGGTTGGTTGACCAAACTGCAAGTATCCTTAAAGTCAATGGCAATGCATATTGCCGGCCTAGTTACCTTCAGTGTTTCTCAGAACAATTTTAATCAATTTCGATGCACATTTACACAATTATTCAAACACAGGCCTACATTTCTTTTTAAGCAACGAAAATTCAAAGTAGGCTAAATTGAATCATATACAATATGAAATCATATTCACTTTCGTTCAATAACCTATATATAGGTCTAGCGGTTTCTAAATTAATCATTGCATGTCATACACTTTAAAGAGAAAATGATTATGTCTGATTCCAAATGTGTCTATTCAAATATCCTAACATGAGTAGGCTAGGCCTAGCCTAAATGCTTATTACACTGATCCCATGTATATTTGCCCACGAATTATTAAACCCACATTATCAACATAAAAATTTATAGCAAAAACGGTATTTTCTCTCTCTCTGAAATTCTAATTCAAGGTAGGCATATGTTTCACACAGTTCCATATATCTATAGCTGTATTACATATCTAAATCGATTTCGATATGGCTGTGGCTAACAAATAGGTCTATAATTTAGAAATACCTTGATAAATAACTTGATCGAAGAATCCCACAGATAGGCTATTATATTACAGCCTTTAGACAAACATGTTTTTTTTTACCGCCATAAGCAAACTATGCAGTGCAGTTATAATTGAACTCTCGACCATGAACTAACTCACAAATAATTAACAAATAGCCTATCAGTTGTTTAATGTCTGTGTACTTTTTCTTGATAGGCCTAACTTGAAATTAAAAGTGTACTTTTTCCTATATATCTTGAAAATAAAAGTGCACCAGGAATTGTTGGTGGACAACGAAATAATATAGCATATACATTAATTAAAACAGTTGGGCTATTGGGCCTAAGCCTTAATTATTCACGATTTATGCAAATACAATTAATTTTCCATAGCCCAAAGTGTCAAGCTCAAAATTCAATAACGCCGACGGGCCAGATGGAGGAGATTTTCAGTAACAGTTGATCTCACAGCTTCTCTGTGGTTGGTTCTCGGGTTACACGGCCCTTCTCGACCTGTCTAGGGACTCCAGCGTCACATAAATCACACAGTGCTCTAGAAGTCCGCCGCTTTCTGAAGTCGTTGGGCTTTACCGCTTCACCAAAGCCAACGGCTAATAGTCAATTCCAAGTCGTGTTTTTGTATACTTCTACCTTATAGCCTTTAGATTCCATAAGAGTTGAGAACATACCCTACTGAATTATGCCGGCTTCTATAGAGCTAAATTAGTACAAGTCAGCTCTATGATTTTTCTTTATGATTTATCCCATAGAAGAACAGCCGCTATACTATTTTCTGAGGAGGCATACATGCACTATTAGACAATAGGCAATGGCATACACGCAAATACAGGTAGCCTTTAAACATCCATCAATAAATAACACATTCTTATTATTAAAACAAATGAGTAAAATATCATTTCAGGCAGGATATCAAACGCATTAAAGCGTTGACCTGTGAGGTGGCGGGGACATTCAGTGGTCACTCACTACTCGCTAACTAATTAAAAGAGCTGGGTTTATGGTCTCCCTTTCAGACGGCCAGATGTGACCAAAGCGCTGTAAAATCTCAGAGCGGTTTACAGAACACTTACTGCACTTAAAATGACTTGAAAAAGCGATGGGAGTTCGAAACTATTCTCACTAAATTCCACTCCGGCACCACAAGCTCCAATAAGGAATCCGTTTCACTCCGACACCTTACAGCAGTTAGAAAGACAGATTGAAACAGATCATTCAAAATACTAATTTCTTATAATGAAGATGACAAAAACAAAGCAAATCAGAAATAAGAAATACAAGTTTAGTATTAATTTAATTATAATACTTTATTCATACTAATTTAACCAACCAAGATGACATGAACAGCATAGAAGTGTTACAATTAACAGGTTTTGTGCAGTTGCATTCAGGTTCAGAATATATATATATAAAAATAAAATACATACCCAAATACTAACCACATATTGTAAAATAATACATGTTTACATATCCACCTACTTTAAATAAGCCCATTTCAATACAAAACAACAGATATGTTGGATTTAAACAAATTCACATAGAATTAATGTTAAGGATAATATTTTTTTTTTTTAACACACAATTAATAATTTGGTTCCCCCCGGCACACACAGGGCCATAAAGCTTGTTTTTACGCACAAAACCAGCTGCAGCACACTCATATCAGATACATGTTATATTGCTGTAGACACATTTGTTCCATAGAGTGCCACTGAAAACAAGCTCTTCTAAAGCCATAACAGTAAAGCAGTAACATGCCGCTGAGCAGTTTCCTCTCAGAGCATACATACATTATGAGATATCACCTTACCATTCCTTAGGAAGCCTGCTGGAGATCTGCAAGTCTTTAATAAGCCTGAGACAGACAGAGTTGGGTTTTGGGAAATACCAGCCCTTCGATAGCAAACCCTCCCAGATAATATGTTGATCTACAACATACAGTCAGAATAGATCTGTCACAGTGCTGCTTTAGTGAACACAAGTATCTTGTATTGATCTGTAGCCTGGATCTGCACAGAGGATCATTCAGGGTTTTACTGTTAACCACCTCCTTTCAGCTGCACCATAAAGACAACGCAGGCCAATTTTAAAAACAGCTATGCTTTCAATTCTACATATGCTTGGCTAGGCATGACACAGAGAGAGCATCCACTTCTGATGTAAATGTTGTGCAAAAGAAGAGCTTGAAGCATTTTAGACACCAGCACACAGACAAACCACCCTCGACAAACAGTAACAAAATACTAATGTTGTTCGCTCCACAATGAAGACTCAGTGAGCTAGTTCTCAGGCAGTACAAATCTAAATGAATTTCCCCCAACGGTAGAATGTTCATACATATACTGGCTTACCTGGTTAAATAAAGGTGAAATAAAATTTTAAAAAATACAGTACACAGGACTGTTATGCAAAGAGAGGAAATATCCTCTGATGTATTGGACATACATTATTAGTGTTAGTATACTGAGGCTATGTGGTAACGGACAGACTGACATTGAGTCAGTAAGAGTCTGTTACCTTGAACAGTGAAAGTAAGGGCTGACACCTCCCCTCCCCGAGTCTCAGGAAGCAGAAGCCGGGGCCTCAGCCGCACTCTGCCCCGCTAGGGGGCTGTTGGCCGTTTTACAGTCCTGATCGCTCCCCTTTGGTTCGGTCACCGTCACTGCAGGGTAGTCCTGCTGGAGCATGGCACTGCCTGCCTGTGTCTCAGTCTCTACCCCAGGTGTGGACCCTGTATCTGGGGGAGACTGGACATGTGCCTCTCCCTGGTTCTCCATGACACTCTTCTTCCTCTCCTCCTCCCTCTCCTCCTCCTGTTCCTCCTCCGTGGCCTGGAGGTGTAGTTGCTGCAGCAGCTCCTCCAGCTTGTGGGCCTTGCGGAGCTCGTTCTGCTGGATGATGGCACACAGGTGCTCCGTCAGCTGCTCCTTTATCTCTGTCTTCTTGTGGAGGTCCAGCTTGGCCGTTACATACTCAGACTCCGCCTTCTCATAGCGCTTCCTGAACAGAAAAGAAGACAGGCAGATGGATTAGGAGTTATTAGGATTTTGTTTTATAGCAAAGGAAGGAATACATGGCATAGCTCACCTGACAAAGACTTCTGTGAAGTCAAAACGTTGTTGATTTGGGTTCAGAAAAAAGTCACTGGGGAGCAGCAATATTCCTTGTGCAGGCCACTCATTCCTTTATCTCAGTATAATATTTTTAGCACAAATGTAGGATGTATCACCTTCCTTTTTTCATGTCTGAGAGGAAGGACTGCATGTGTTGAAAGCGGTTTATGGCATTAGGGACATTGTTCTCTGAATGTATTGGGATGTATTGAAGGAGTATGCTGAATAACCTGTAGGGAGCAGTGTTTCCAGAGTTTGAAATAAGGAAATGTTCACTGCCATATCAGTATAGCTACAGACTGCTGTGTTTTTTTTTTTTTTTTGTGATACAACAAGAATAATGGGTATTAGTAAATTGACAACTATCATGGATGACCTCTCCTGAGTGAAAATACAACCTGATTGAACAGAATCCCATCTCCGTGGCAAGGATTCAGCATGTTCTCCAAGTTGTGTTTACCTTGCAGTGTTGTAGTCCCAGCTGGCCTGCTCTATCACACCTCTCAGAATGCAGATGTCGTTGGACACCATATTGTCCAGAGTCTGCAAATCTTTCTGGATCCTCTTCAGCTTCACTGTCTCTGCCTGGGTCTGTTTGGATCTGTGTACACAGAAAACAGGCAGCTGGTTGAATTTTTGCATGTGTAACCACAGCAAGTGTCCATATAAAACAATGTGTATCAGAATAGCTGGTACTGATAATGTGAACTATGGGACCTGTCCTTACTTCTCAGCAATGGTCTTGGTCAGGAGGGCTTTCTTGCGCTTATTCCTCTCTTCCATCATCTTTTGGTCTTGCTGAAGCAGCTCTATGCGGGTCTTCTCCCGACTACAACAATAACAACGACGAGCATTAACACACAATACAGAGAATGGCGATCAGCAGACATGATTATGTGTTTGATCTACAAACAATAAAGGACAGGCGTAATTAGCCTAAGATAAGTATTCTTAAAATAAATTACTGCACTCTTCTTGGTTTTTGGACCCTGTGAGTGTCAACATTACTGGCATGTCAAACTAAACCAATGTACAGGCAACTGTGAGATCATCATAAGACATTGCTCTATAACTAATTTATTATAAAGACTTACTAACAATTCCACCTCTTGTTTTTCCAACTCCTTGGCAATAGGCGGTGTGTCCTCCGCTGGTGCAGGAGCATGGTTTACGGTAAGGGGCTCTTTTTCGCTGGGTTCCTCCACCGGCTTTGTGGGGGTAACGACGGGCTGAATGACAGCCTGCGGCGGGGGCTTAGCGGGCTGCGGCAGAGGCTTGGTTAGCTTCTGCTCGGGTGGTAGCACAGGCGAGCCGGGTCCACTCTTTTGCTCAGCGGCTAACTGGAGGGCTCTCTCTCGCTGCAACTGCTGCCGACTCCGGTTAGTAGGAGCTGGTTTCCGTCCACGACCTAAAGCCGCAGGCACCGCCTGGTCTGATGAATGAGGTAAAACAACAGGGATACTGGATATCGATACACTTCACAGACGTAACTAGCTACTGAATTTACAAATTAATGGATATCTGTGGAAAGCCGACAGATCCTCTTGGCTAAGCAGCTAACGTTATACTAGCCCATGATCATAAATCTGTTTCATCACATTACACATAAGAGTCATTGGACGAAGGCGTCTTCAGTACGGGTAGTTTTGTTAAGCGCCCCGACGGTCGACGGTCAATCTGAACATACACATGCGTCATTGCGCTAAGGTTTTGGAAACATAAGGACCTTATCTTTCATTTCAGCAACAATAAAAATAAATTTAAAAAGGCTAAATTGATACACACCTTGATAGGGTTAGTTTTCCCACATAGCCATATCTCAATGTTACAGCGCTTGTTTACAGAAAACAGACGGAAAACAAGAGACAACCACCTGTGCTAATTAGCTATCTAGCGTGCTACGAACACCTGTGTGTAAGCGTAACTCGGGAAGTGTATCAGAAGTGTAGTTTCGTTGCATGGAGGCACCCATAGCTGTATGGATCTGTAACTGCTACAGTAAGTGTATGTTTTTTATTTTAAGGATTCTTTCTCGCTGATGAATGATAGGAGTCATATGTTTTGAAAGCCATATCACAAGCGATGATTATTGACGGTTCTAAAACACAGCGTTGGGATTGCAGTTCACATGAACCAGTCGTGGGCGATGCTAATGGCAGAGAACTGTAGGGAGAAGACAGAATGCCACCTAGAGTTTTCGTGAGCTAACCTTACGTAAGCCCAATATGTACTCTTAAGCAGCCTACCGTTACTCCTTAAGGTCCAAGGATCTTATGTTATTTTCAGAGGTAGACTGGCTCTGGCAGCCAAAACAGCCAGATACTCCATCTAAACGTGAATCGTTTCTCAATGGCGATACGGTTCTAGAAACATAAAGCCTTTTACGTTCATGCCACATTAGAATATACACTTACTGTACCCTGTTTTAACCGGCTTTATCACAGTTGCAGCCAACAGTATTTTTCAGTGACAACATGTTTCTGGCGGCCTTCTTCAGTTACACACAGGTGTTCGGCACATGCTAGATAGCTAATTAGCACAGGTGGTCCCTCTGTCTTCAGTAAACAAGCGCTGTAACATGTGTGGGAACACTAACCCTATTAAAGTGTGTATCAATTTAACATTTTATTTATTTATTATTATTTCTCGCTGATATGAAAGACACTAAGGTCCTTCCTTATACGTCCAAAACCGTACCACAAGCGATGCATGTTAATCTTCAGACCGAGTTTCGGTGATCTTAACAAAACTCCCCCCTACAGAAGATGCCTTTGTCCAATGACTCTTACGTTTAATGTAATGGAACTGAGAGTCATGATTATCAAGGGCTAACGTTATGCTACCTTGAAGTTACCTTTCTGCTGCAACTTTCGTAGCTCCTCTTCTGAAAACCCTGACCATCCAGCCATTTTAAGATTGATATCCTAGGAATTTAGCGACACGAGATATTTGTTAGCTATTAAATATTTAGCGAAACCGTCAACTTAAAATGCCAAAAGTTAGTAACAATCCAGCAAAACTTTCTACTTAGCCGCCATCTTTGTTTATTGATGCCACGTCAAAGACCCCGAAAAGGACCGGTGAAGGGATACTAAAAATAACGCCTGTTTGATTTTAATACAAATTGTAGTTTATTAATTCAAATGATGTAATATTCACCGGTTTGTGTGCTGTTAGACTAATTATACAACACGCACAAATACTAAACTGAAATTTGTTACCTATTGCAAAAAGAGAAACACTGGCAAATACTTTGGATACGAGTATGCTTCAGAGCCAGAGTTTATCTAAAGGCCAGTTTATACTTGGTCTAACTACATGTCTGTAGACGATTTGAATGCGACAAGTGTCGCTGGTCAAAATGACATTTAATGGATACTCCGGTGGTATGTCTGTAGACGGTCGCTGCGACTGTTAGTTTCCTTGATGCACAGACATTAAAAACGTTTCTGCTACTGTCTCAACGTCCGTTGTCGTGGTTACCGAACTGCCACAGCAACCAGACCAAATCCTCCTGTGACAAGATGATGCAAATTCTCCTATAGAATTACCTACTTTTATTTCGTCACACTGTGGCACTAAACTATTTTCTGTAAGCTCACCATTACTTTATAAATAAATATGTTGTTGTGGGTTTATTTTCCTGTAATAATTAATAAAAAGTAGCTAAAGTTAAGACGTTGTCTGCTATACACTGGGGAGTCTCGTCATTATTTGAACTGGCTAGCAACGAACCATAACATTGTTTAGAAAATTGCTTTTAGTTGTCTGGCTTGCTAGATTGACGTTTGCTGAATTCATTTTTAAGGGGATGGGTTTATTGGTGTTAAAATAGAGAAAGTATGCTAATTGGAGCAACTGGCTGCTGATGTCCTGCACAGTCTGTCATTTTGCGTTTATACTTTTTCATAATGACAAGTTTGATGTCGGATAGTGCTGAGCGATTAACCAACATTTCTGTTATTTTTCGGTTTTTAAACCACTAATTGACCAACATCGGTTCAATTATTTGAATTCCATTTCGTTCGGGGGTTTTCTGTGAGTTCAATGCTCACACTGCACAGTTTCTCTAGAGATAAATCAGATCCAGCCTGAACTTTGCTATATTTTAGGGAGTTGTAGTTTCCAACTGGCCAATATTCTCAACCTGGTCGCATCGACTAGACGTAACATAGTAAATGTAAATCCGGGACACTCTAGGCTATACAAACGCCTCACACCGCGTGGCTGCTGCCTCTCTAACCTGGTGGTCCCTGCACGCACCACCCACGTGGAGTTCCAGGTCTCAGGCAGCCTCTGGAACTACCGTTCTGCTGCCAACAAGGCAGAGTTCATCTCAGCCTATGCTACCCTCCAGTCCCTCGACTTCTTGGCGCTGACGGAAACATGGATTACCACTGAAAACACTGCTACTCCTACTGCTCTCTCCTCGTCTGACCATGTGTTCTAGCATACCCCGAGAGCATCTGGTCAGCGGGGTAGTGGCACAGGAATCCTCATCTCTCCCAAATGGACATTCTCTATTTTTCCCCTGACCCATCTGTCTATCTCCTCATTTGAATTCCATGCTGTCACAGTCACTAGCCCATTTAAGCTTAATATCCTTGTCATCTATCGCCCTCCAGGTTCCCTTGGAGAGTTCATCAATGAGCTTGACGCCTTGATAAGTTCCTTTCCTGAGGATGGCTCACCCCTCACAGTTCTGGGGGATTCAACCTCCCTACGTCTACCTTTGACTCATTTCTCTCTGCCTCCTTCTTTCCACTCCTCTCCTCTTTTGACCTCACCCTCTCACCCCCCCCCCCCCCCCCCCCCCCCCTACTCACAAGGCAGGCAATACGATTGACCTCATCTTTACTAGATGCTGTTCTTCTACTAATCTCACTGCAACTCCCCTCCATGTCTCCGACCACTACTTTGTATCCTTTTCTCTCTCGCTCTCCTCCAACACTACTCACTCTGCCCCTACTCAGATGGTAATGCGCCGTCGCAACCTTCGCTCTCTATCTCCCGCCACTCTCTCCTCTTCCATCATATCTTCTCTTCCCTCTGCTCAATCCTTCTCCCTCCAATCTCCTGATTCTGCCTCATCAACCCTCCTCTCCTCCCTTTCTGCATCCTTTGACTCTCTATGTCCCCTTTCCTCCCGGGAGGCTCGGTCCTCCCCTCCAGCTCCGTGGCTTGATGACTCATTGCGAGCTCACAGAACAGGGCTCCGGGCAGCTGAGCAGAAATGGAGGAAAACTAGACTCCCTGCTGACCTGGCATCTTTTCACTCCCTCCTCTCTACATTTTCTTCATCTGTTTCTGCTGCTAAGGCCACTTTCTACCACTCTAAATTCTAAGCATCTGCCTCTAACCATAGGAAGCTCTTTGCCACCTTCTCCTCCCTGCTGAATCCTACTCCCCCTCCTCCCTCTCTGTGGATGACTTCGTCAACCATTTTGAAAAGAAGGTTGACGACATCCGATCCTCGTTTGTTAAGTCAAATGACACTGCTGGTCCTGCTCACACTGCCCTACCCTATGCTTTGACTTCTTTCTCCCCTCTCTCTCCAGATAAAATCTTGCGACTTGTGACGGCCGGCCGCCCAACAACCTGCCCGCTTGACCATATCCCCTCCTCTCTTCTCCAGACCATCTCCGGTGACCTTCTCCCTTACCTCACCTCGCTGATCAACTCATCCTTGACCGCTGGCTATGTCCCTTCCGTCTTCAAGAGAGCGAGAGTTGCACCCCTTCTCAAAAAACCAACACTCGATCCCTCTGATGTCAACAACTACAGACCAGTATCCCTTCTTTCTTTTCTCTCCAAAACTATTGAGCGTGCCGTCTTTAGCCAACTCTCTTGCTATCTCTCTCAGAATGACCTTCTTGATCCAAACCAGTCAGGTTTCAAGACTGGTCATTCAACTGAGACTGCTCTTCTCTGTGTCACGGAGGCTCTCCGCACTGCTAAAGCTAACACTCTCTCCTCTGCTCTTGTCCTTCTAGACCTGTCTGCTGCCTTTGATACTGTGAACCATCAGATCCTCCTCTCCACCCTCTCCGAGCTGGGCATCTCCGGCGCGGCTCACTCTTGGATTGCGTCCTACCTGACCGGTCGCTCCTACCAAGTGGCGTGGCGAGAAGCTGTCTCCGCACCACGTGCTCTCACCACTGGTGTCCCCCAGGGCTCAGTTCTAGGCCCTCTCCTATTCTCGCTATACACCAAGTCACTTGGCTCTGTCATATCCTCACATGGCCTCTCCTATCATTGGTACGCAGACGACACACAACTAATCTTCTCCTTTCCCCCTTCTGATAACCAGGTGGTGAATCGCATCTCTGCATGTCTGGCAGACATTTCAGTATGGATGACGGATCACCACCTCAAGCTGAACCTTGGCAAGACAGAGTTGCTCTTCCTCCCGGGGAAGGACTGCCCGTTCCATGATCTCGCCATCACGGTTGACAACTCCGTTGTGTCCTCCTCCCAGAGTGCGAAGAGCCTTGGCGTGACCCGATAGCCTTTGCTTTCTTAACTGATTGTGTATATTGGTTCCTGACTTCCCTGAAAAGTTACATATCGCGGGGGCTGTTCGCTGCTAATGCAGTACGCCACAGGATGTTTTTGTGCTGGTCAAGGGCAGTCAAGTCTGAGGAGAACCAGTGGCTATATCTGTTCTTAGTTCTGAATTTTTTGAATGGGGCATGCTTATTTAAGATTGAGAGGAAAGCACTTTTAAAGAACAACCAGGCATCCTCTACTGACGGAATGAGGTCAATATCCATCCAGGATACCCGGGCCAGGTTTAGCTAACATCTAGGCGGTGACCCGATCCTGTAGGTTCATGCTCTACAACATTCGGAGAGTACGACCCTGCCTTACACAGGAAGCGGCACAGGTCCTAATCCAGGCACTTGTCATCTCCCGTCTGGATTACTGCAACTCGCTGTTGGCTGGGCTCCCTTCCTGTGCCATTAAACCCCTACAACTCATCCAGAATGCCGCAGCCCGTCTGGTGTTCAACCTTCCCAAGTTCTCTCACGTCACCCCGCTCCTCCGCACACTACACTGGCTTCCAGTTGAAGCTCGCATCTGCTACAAGACCATGGTGCTTGCCTACGGAGCTGTGAGGGGAACGGCACCTCCGTACCTTCAGGCTCTGATCAGTCCCTACACCCAAACGAGGGCATTGCGTTCATCCACCTCTGGCCTGCTGGCTCCCCTACCTCTGCTGAAGCACAGTTCCCGCTCAGCCCAGTCAAAACTGTTCGCTGCTCTGGCACCCCAATGGTGGAACAAGCTCCCTCACGACGCCAGGACAGCGGAGTCACTCACCACCTTCCGGAGACATTTGAAACCAAACCTCTTTAATGAACACCTGGGATAGGATAAGTAATCCTTCTACCCCCCCCCCCCTTACCCCCCCCCCCCCCCCCCCACACATTTTTTAAAATAAAAAAATTGTAAAGTGGTTATCCCACTGGCTATAAGGTGAATGCACCAATTTGTAAGTCGCTCTGAATAAGAGCATCTGCTAAATGACGTAAATGTAAATGTAAATGTAGGGGGGGTATACAGAAGATAGCCCTATTTGGTAAAAGACCAAGTCCATATTATGGCAAGAACAGCTCAAATAAGCAAAGAGAAACGACAGTCCATCATTACTTTAAGACATGAAGGTCAGTCAATACGGACAATTTCAAGAACTTTGAAAGTTTCTTCAAGTGCAGTCGCAAAAACCATCAAGCGTTATGATGAAACTGGCTCTCATGAGGACCGCCACAGGAATGGAAGACCCAGATAAATGATTCACAGAGTTCAAGTCACAGACAAATCTCAACATCAACTGTTCAGAGGGGACTGTGTGAATCAGGCCTTCATGGTCGAATTACTGCAAAGAAACCACCACTAAAGGACACCAATAATAAGAAGAGACCTGCTTGGACCAAGAAACCCGAGCAATGGACATTAGACCGGTGGAAATGTGTCCTTTGGTCTGGAGTCCAAATTTGAGATTTTGGTTCCAACCACTGTGTCTTTGTGAGACGCGGTGTGGGTGAACGGATGATCTCCTCATGTGTAGTTCCCACCGTAAAGCATGGAGGAGGA